CTCCTGGCCTTACTACTAGGAGCAAGAAGCTACTAGTAGCTCCTGGCATTACTACTAGGAGCAAGAAGCTACTAGTAGCTCCTGGCCTTACTACTAGGAGCAAGAAGCTACTAGGAGCTCCTGGCCTTACTACTAGTAACAAGAAGCTACTAGTAGCTCCTGGCCTTACTACTAGGAGCAAGAAGCTACTAGTACCTCCTGGGCTTACTACTAGGAGCAAGAAGCTACTAGTACCTCCTGGGCTTACTACTAGGAGCAAGAAGCTACTAGTAGCTCCTGGCCTTACTACTAGGAGCAAGCAGCTACTAGTAGCTCCTGGCCTTACTACTAGGAGCAAGAAGCTACTAGTAGCTCCTGGCATTACTACTAGGAGCAAGAAGCTACTAGTAGCTCCTGGCCTTACTACTAGGAGCAAGAAGCTATTAGTAGCTCCTGGCCTTACTAGTAGGAGCAAGAAGCTACTAGTAGCTCCTGGGCCTACTACTAGGAGCAAGAAGCTACTAGTAGCTCCTGGCATTGCTACTAGGAGCAAGAAGCTACTAGTAGCTCCTGGCCTTACTACTAGGAGCAAGAAGCTACTAGTAGCTCCTGGCCTTACTACTAGGAGCACGAAACTACTAGTAGCTCCTGGCCTTACTACTAGGAGCACGAAACTACTAGTAGCTCTTGGCGTTACGACTAGGAGCAAGAAGCTACTAGTAGCTCCTGGCCTTACTACTGGGAGCAAGAAGCTACTATTACCTCCTGGGCTTAGTACTAGGAGCACAAAGCTACTAGTAGCTCCTGGCCTTGGCACTAGGAGCAAGATGCTACTAGTACCTCCTCGCCTTACTACCAGGAGCAAGCTACTAGTAGCTCCTGGCCTTACTATTAGTACGAGGAAGAAGCTACTAGTAGCTCCTGGCCTTACTACTAGTAGGAGCAAGAAGCTACTAGTAGCTCCTGGCCTTACTAGGAGCAAGAAGCTACTAGTACCTCCTGGCCTTACTACCAGGAGCAAGAAGCTCCTAGTAGCTCCTGGCCTTACTACTAGGAGCAAGAACCTACTAGTAGCTCCTGGGCTTACTAGTAGGAGCAAGAAGCTACTAGTAGCTCCTGGCTTTACTGCTAGGAGCAAAAGCTACTAGTAGTTCCTGGCCTTACGACTGGGAGCAAGAAGCTACTAGTAGCTCCTGGGCTTACTACTAGAAGCAAGAAGCTACTAGTAGCTCCTGGCCTTGCTACTAGGAGCAAGAAGCTACTAGTAGCTCCTGGCCGTACTACTAGGAGCAAGAAGCTACTAGTAGCTCCGGGCCTACTAGTAGCTTGTGCCTTACTCCTAGGAGCAAAAAGCTAGCAGTAGCTCCTAGCCTTACTGCTAGGAGCAAGAAGCTACTAGCAGCCCCTGCATACTACTAGGAGCAAGAAGCTACTAGTAGCTACTGGCCTTACTTCTAGTAGGACGCTAGTAGCTCCTGGCCTTACTTCTAGGAGCCAGAAGCTACTAGTAGCTCTTGGCCTTACTAGCAGCAAGAAGCTACTAGTAGCTCCTGGTGTTACTACTAGGAGCAAGAAGCTACTAGTACCTCCTGGCCTTACTACCAGGAGCAGGAAGCTACTAGTAGCTCCTGGCCTTACTACTAGGAGCAAGAAGCTACTAGTAGCTCTTGGCCTTACGACTAGGAGCAAGAAGCTAGTAGTAGCTCCTGGCCTTACTACTAGGAGCAAGAAGCTACCAGTAGCTCCTCGCCTTACTACTACTAGGAGCAAGAAGCTACTAGCAGCTCCTGGCCTTAGTACTATAGGAGCAAGAAGCTACTGGTAGCTACTGGCCTTACACTACTGGTAGGAGCAAGAAGCTACTAGTAGCTCTTGGCCTTACTGGGGGCAAGATGCTACTACCTTAGCACTAGGAGCAAGAAGCTACTAGTAGCTCCTGGTGTTACTACCAGGAGCAAGAAGCTAAAAGTATCACTTGGCCTTACTAGGAGCAAGAAGCTACTAGTAGCTTCTGACCTTAGCACTAGGAGCAAGAAGCTACTAGTACCTCCTGGCCTTACTACCAGGAGCAAGAAGC